GGAACACTGAAAGCAAATCGGGGACAATCTTTTGGATGTAAAGGTATAGTATAAAAATAATCTTTTAAATCTATTATTGCAATATAAGAGTCCTTTGGAATTTCAGTAGGCAATGGTAAACCTGGTTATAAAGCCCCCATAATTTCCACAGTAGCATTAACAGCCCTAAGGCCTTGAAGCAATCGCTATCTCCCAGATTTTTTTCTGATAACAAAAATAGGACTATTCCAAGGAGAATTAGAAGGAACTATATGTCCTGCTGTTAATTGTTCTTTCACCAATATCTGTGCAGCAGTTATCTTTTCCTGTAGTAAAGGCCACTGATCCACCCACACGGGATTATCTGATTTTTATTTTATTTAATTTTTTGCATGGGGCACAGGCTGACCAGTAGCCATCAAGGGAAACCCAAGCCTCTCTGGTCATGATTGACAGTTAAAGTAACTGGAGATGCGATGCTTTGTTGTTGTTTGTCTAAACCCTTACCTGGCAAATGACCTTGTTGAAGTATGTTAATGGCAATAATCTTATTTGGACTGTGTATTAAAGCCCCCATTTGAGTTAGAATATCACGTCTCCAGAGATTAACAAGTAATGCAGCCAAAATATAGGGGCGACAGGCTCCAGCATTACCTGTTTTATCCTCCCATTGTAGCAATTTGGAACTTTAAGCTAATCTCTGACTCCAACCAATACCTTGCATTTGAGTCATGGTAATTTCCTTTCTCCAATTTGTGGGCCAGCTTGCTGCTGAAATAACAGAGACATCAGTTCCAGTATCTAAAAGACCACTGAATAACTTTTTATTTAATTTTAAGAAAAATTTGGGTCGGTCCTTAGTTATGGGTTGTATTCAATAAGCATTAGAAGATCCAAAACCGTTGTTTTCTCTTTTATTTAAAAAAGACTTACCAATTGAAGAGAAGGGGAACAGAATCAAGTGAGCAATGCATTCTGGAGGTAAAGTTACATTATTGGCTTGAGTCATAATTTTTATCTCACCAGTAAAGTCAGTGTTTATAACTCCAGGAAAAACCTGTAACCCTTTCATAGTTATACTACTTCTGCCCAGTAGGAGACCAAAAAACCCAGTTGGCAAATGACCAAAAATCCCAGTAGGGAGGCCTTGTGGGCCCATCTCAGGGGTCAATACTGTATAGGAGGTGGCACTGAGATCCAGTCCTGCACTACCCTCTGTGGCTCCGTGGAGGAAATTGATGGATTTAGGGTGTTCTGTTGAGGAACAAATGTCATGGCCCCCAAAATCTGTTGGGATGGGGCCTGGGACCAGCCCCGCTTTTAGTTTTCTGAACTTTATTTATTTAAGGAATTATCTTTTTTATCAGTTTTGGAGTGACATTTATTGGTCCAAAGCCTTTCCCTTTAGCACCAGGGGCAAATCCCAGGAGGAGGGGCTTTTTTGATGTTTGACATTTGGACAATATTTGTACATGTCCCTGCTGCCCACATTTATAGCATCCTCACTTATCAGGTATAGCCCTCCTTGTTGATTTTTGTAATGACATACCAAGCAGAGTGGCAGGTCCTGAATGTTCTGTTTTTTAAATTAATTTATTTTGTTAATTTTTTATTAAAGGGACTATTACAGAACACCTCAGCCACAATAGCCAATCAATTCATATCTGCGTTGTACTTATGTTTTGTAGAATTTACAGTACTATGGGCATTACTAGGCAATTTTCACATAGCACCAGAAAAGGATCCATACTGAGAATTAAACATCATTAGTAATCATCACAGGCACATTTAACGTTCAGCTTGACTGCGTGTTCCCCCGGGATAAAACAGCAGCTCAGAGGCTTGCTCCGGCTGCCCCTTAAAGCCCCCAAGGACAAGGGTGGCTCATTGCCAAGATGTTAGGCAAGCAGTGTGTCCCATCCCGGATCTTGGCCAGAGAGCCAAGACACGAAGCATGCCCACCTGTTTATCAGAAAACTTTCCTTTATCCCCCTCCCCGGGAGCTGGCCAGGCTCCCGAGGAGCAGGAGAAGGTCATCTGGCAGACAAGTTATTGTTTATTAGAGCCAAACAAAGACACAAGCCTCTCCATCCCAAAAGTCTGTCCTTACATTTGGCCCTAGAGTTGCACCAAGGTATAGGCATAATTAATATATCATAAGAATATAATACAAATTTTCTATACAAGTATACATCCAGCAATCAAACACAATAATATTCAATATGTTTTAAGGATAAATTGAAACATATCTGAGGGAACTAGCCTCTTATTATCTGTAATTATTATATTTCTGCAGGTGTGTGGAATCTTAACTACTTGCGGCATGTTTTGACTTACATTTTTTTTTTTTTTTTGTAAAGCAAACCAAGCATAATCTGCTCAAGCATTCCTATCAATAATAGGGGTAGAGTTAGTACATAGAACAAAAACAGAATGGGTAGTCCGGACACTTTGTCACCACAATTTCTCATTTCACATAGTAATATGAACTTTATAACAGAGAACATTTACTTCAAATGAAATATTTAAATGCAAGGTGAGGGCTGTCCAGTGTACACTGATCTATATTTTTTACTCCCAGTGTTTCTTATCCACAGCACCCTCTTCAGCAAACCAAGGACTAATTGTTTCAACAGCACTGATAAACTGCTCTACAGTTTGTTTCTTTAACCCTATTCTCTATATCTGCAACAAAGTTTTCACAGCCTTTGTCACGGCTTGCTTTGTTTTTGTTTTTTTTTTTTTTTTTTTCCCCAGTAAATCCCAATGTTGCTCATTCACGACTCCTTTTGTTAACCAAGGACTATTTTTATAGCATTAATGAACCGTTCTATGGCTCGCCTTTTTTAACCCTATTCCCTGTATATGTAATGGAGTCTTTATAGCTTTTTTTTTTTTTTTCCATAGGGGCCGATTTAGGGAGAGTCAATGGATGATACCGCAGCGGCGGTTCGTCCTCTAAGGACAAATTTGCTAGCCTAGTCAAACTGAGATATAAATGAGATGGCCCCCTTGAGCGCAGGGGTGCACTCGATGGGGGATGGTCCTTCACTGAATTTTCCTCTGTCTCATCCGGTGGCTGGTCCCTACAGGGACCTTTGTCCATCTGTTTCCTGTCCCACTGACTACCACAGTCACTAGACTGACTATCATGCCGAGACTCCTCCTGAACCTTCTCTAGGAGCTCGCATCCTTCATCAAGTAAAAGCCCTATGCTCTCAGTGGGGTCCTGAAGTGTCTGGTCAGTGAGTTGCCATAATCTAAGTATTTCTGCTGGCTCTCCGGCTGCTCTCAACTATCTCCCTACTCTCCGCCACTGTTGCTCATCTAATTGGCCACCTTCCACAAACCGTGGTGACCTCTTGGCAACAGCCCTAGTGAATGCACATACTGTGGCCGCCTTAACGGGCGTCCCCGCAGCTTTTAACAAGCAGCTCAACAGCATGTGCAACCTAGTGGTGGACGGAGAATAGTCCATTTGGAGGTAAAAAGGAAGTTTCTGAGTATTGTCCATTTGGAGGTAAAAAGGAAGTTTCCGAGTATTGTCCATTTGGAGGTAAAAAGTAAGTTTCCGCCTATTTCCTGGTGTTTCTTAACACTTTGTACTCCCACCTTTTAAGGGATTCCTTTACCCTTTTTACTGGCGCTTAATTTCCCCGTCTTTCCTCGACGGAACCGCGGTTTCTATTCTTTCCCCAGCTGGATTTCCGTGCACTCGCACGCTTACCTTTTGTTCCTTACCTATTCCTGCGTGTAGAAAGTGGTCCGGATCCGAGTCATGGCACCACTTGCTGCTCCCTTGCCCGCAAAGGAACGACACTGTTCACAGCTTATCGGTCTTCAGCAGACTTTTAATGGGAAAATAATAGGGACAGAGAAAGAATGAAAGGAGGAGAGTGGACAGGAAAGCCCCCTCCTTCCTCAGCACACAGCTTATATACAAAATCTGGCCAATTGCAAGCGGGCTCAAGTCCATGCACGGAACACTCCAATCTGCTGTCTGTTCACGCAGTGTGCACGCGTTCTCGGGCCAATCAGATGAGGTGTCACGCAGCAGGCAGGCTCACTGCGCAGTCCTCGGTGCCATCTTGTTGTTTACAACATTCTCAACTCCTCTGGAAAGTCCCGAGCATGGGAAAGCATTGCCCTAACCAAAACTAGCAACATTTGCCTTGTGATAAAGACACAGCAACAGCTATCAGACTGACCTTGACGTGGGGGCTCCATGGCTGCGCATCCCATGGAGCCCCACACAGTGTTATAGCAAGAGAGGAAGAGATCAACAGATGAAGGGAGAATTCCATCCACTGGTTAACTTCCTGAATGGCTGCAAAGACTGGGGATGGCTCAGCCTAAATTCAGGAGCCTGACTTGGATCATGGTAGACAGTTTTCCCCATTGCACTGCCTACCTCTGTGAGTTCAAGCTTGTGTACTGCATGTATAACTAATGTCACA